GCTGAACCCCCAGGAGCAAAGAAAGTCTATAGATGTTAGCTTTGGTGGTAGTGCTGAAATGATTTTCACTGTTCATATGAATGAATATTAACGTACATCATATGTTTAGACAAGTGGTGGAAAATTTTTAATGGAATTAATTTCAGGGACAGTCATATTTGTGTTTGGGACGTCTGTGCTGCTAAATTTAAATGCTTAAGTAGCATTGAGATGCTACTTTAGGGTTTTCTTCGCTGATAGGCTAACTCCTTCTAATACAACTTGTAGTGAAAATAAACCCCAAGAGGATCAGAGAAACAACTTTGTCGTCCATCCCTGTTTGTGAATGGTGCTTGTGCGTCAAATTTACGGGCGTACCAGAAACGTGTGAATATAGAGGTTCCAGCCGGAAATCCAGTAAGTAAACTTAACACATTAAAATTTTATGTAGTTAATTAATCAACATTAACTCGCTAAAATAGGTAGCCATAAGCCAGCAGCGTCACAAGTATCTTTTCATTCATGCTATTCCATTGGCTGACCAGTTGATTTCCTTGTCTACACTAAACGGAAGAACAAATATCTTCACGGCAAACATTAAAAAAAAAAAAGATTTTTACTTTTTTTTTTACCAAAAACATCTTGAGGTCCATTTTGCTAAAACTTGCAGATTTCCATATATTCCTTTGCCACAGGGGTTTTCAATGAATCCTTACATAAGTAGGTGTCGTTGAGGAATATGGTAAACAGAAACGTACTTCCAAATCCAAAGTGCTTTTTTTAATGCATAACTTGTGTGTTATTTCATTTCAACATGATTCAGGAGTTCTTGGCCTCTGTGCAGATATGACTCCTTAAAATTAATCACTCCACTAGAAGCTCGGACTCCACCCTACTCCAGTTGCCAGTACACTAGAGCCACGCATGTCGGCACACCAACAGCACCACTGCCGCCACCATTTCCTCTCAGGAAATGAATTAGGACTCCAATTGGCTTCAGTTGCAGTCTGGCTGGTGATAAGGAAAAATCTGATTGGCACAGAAGCGACAGGCCTTAGCCGAAGAGGGGGCGAGGCGGGGCGGGGGTGGCGACGCTCAAAATACAAAACAGTGCGCAAAACATCTTTTGCGCGCCGCCACGCATCCGGGTCACCCGGATCCTGATAAAGCCACCAGCTCAGGTGGCTTAAAGCAGCAGATTTACCTCATGAGAGCCACTTGGCCGGCGGACAGAGGCAAACATGCAGGGCGAGAGAGCGGAGCGTGACTAGTGTGCAGAATGCTGACTCATTTTCCTCTGAGAGGAACACAAACGTCCAATGTAAGAAGCTCTGGACTGGAAAGGAGGAATAAAATATCGTCGTGGTTAATTTCTTATTTATAACTTCACTGACAGTTTTTCAAAGGAATAAATATATATACAAGGCATACACAGGAGTAATGCTTAGATCACTTAATCGGCCAAACATTGTTACCATGACAGTCAACAGTGGTGATGTGTTCGTCTGTTTAGCCTGTCTGGAGGGAATACAGCAAAAAAAAAAAAAAAAAAAAAAAAGGTAAAATTACGTTCTAAATGGATGAAGTGAAAAAGTTTGGCAGCCGTGGGGAGTTTTTTTGGAGTTCAGTTGTTTTAATGGGGAGTTTTATGTAACAAGGTGGTTTTTAGTTGTATTTTAAGACAAAGTAGTGAATAATAGTTCAGGTGTTTGTCTCTGCCCTCTTTGCACATTTAGAATGTGTTCACACCAGCTCTGCTTAGTCCACTTTAACCAAACTCTAGTTTGTTTGCCTCGGTGAACTGGTCCACCTAGAAACCTAGGGCTCGGTTCAGGTTAAAGTGACCTCTGGTGAGGTTCGTATGCGAACGCCAAGCAGACCGGAGACCACTCCAACAGCAGGAAGCGGACTGAAGACTGGGGCATTGTGGGTAAATACAACCACAACAAATGCATGAATCTCATGAACTTTTACCAACAACAAAAGAGGTCGACAGGAAGTCAACAGGAAGTGGTAGGAGGGTGATGGTGCGAAATGTTTTTTAATGACTTATCAAGAGAACAAACTCATTCATGTGAGATTTTAATTGCATTTCTTATTTAATGGAAACACAGCAATTGAGAAAATGTGTTCTTTCGACTTTAGCTAAAGATCAACAAAGTTTGGCGAACATTTGCAATGGAAACGCAGCTGCTGCAGGTTAGCTTTCCAAAACAGAATTAGCATATTTAATGTAAATACTGAATAATGACCTTCAATTTTTTTTTATATGTATTTACACTTCTGCAGAATATGGTGAATATTATTTTTAAACTAATCAAGGGTGATATTTTACCCCATTAGAATCCTACATAGGCACTTTATGCACAAAGAAAAATAATGGAAAGAGATTAAAACCTGTTAATGTTGGCTGTCTGAATGAGTCAAAGTGTTATTTTTTTTTGTCTTTGTATTGACCCGTTTCACATTACATTCAAATCCCAACACACTGACGTGTCGCTGTTCATAAAGAAGTTCAAGGAGTGAGTACGAGTGTTTCTGCCAAGTTCTTCACAGGGTAGATCTCAAAAGGTAATCCTTTAATGGCAAATATACCAACAAAAAAAACCTTCCAGCTCATGAACAACTGCTTCCTTGCTTCAGGGTGTAAGCTGGCCGTGGTTCCCCGTTTGGTTTCCATCGTTGCCACGAGGCTTCGCGGCAAAACTCAGCATCGCTCTTCGGAGAAATGTTTCTCTTGCTAAAACTACAGACTGCTGACTCTCCCAGGTCAGAGGTGTAGCCTTACACTCTGGCTGTCAGACAAGCGGCTCAGACTCGCACAATAACGACGTGACGCAGCGTGGATGGAGGAACAGAAGGAGAACGCAGGGCGGTGGAGGGGGACCGTCTGAGTGTGAAAAGACAGAGGATGAGAGAGAAGGGAAAGTCGGAATAAGACAATAAGCATGACAGGTGGAAACCAAGAAATAATAGAAATATAAGCGACAATAGGTTTTGGGTTTTTTTATAATTCCGAGGCAAGGTGAAATATTACAGTCAGTGTGTTCCTCTTATTCGTTTTTGCACATATGGAGATGATTTCTTGCAGTGGTTCAGGCTTTATGAAATGACAGCCAGATGCGTTGACTTAAGAGTTATGTTTTGTTGGCTGAATATGACTCCCGGCTACAAGATGTTGTGGCTTACAAGGTATGCCCCGACAAACAGGCCGGCGTCTGAACCCTTCGCGCAGAGCTCCGCGCTCGCCCTCCGTCGCCGTCCCGCCATGCCGCCCCCTCGCTTGTTATTACTCTTTGGATGCCGATTGTCAATCACCGGCCAGTGACTTTTTAAGAGGCGAGCTGGAACGGGTCCGGTGGAAACTCAAGAGACTGACGTTGACTCGAGGCGAGCAGGCGAAGCGAAGTGGCCTGAAGACGGAGTGCGAAGCTGGACGGAGGCAGAGGAAAAGGGCTGAAGAGCTGAAAGACCCTCGCTGATCGTTTTAGAAGAAAAAGTCAACGTTCCGAAAATAAACCACAAAAATTATTGCAACCCCTGGGAAACTTGTTAAAAGCTCATAAAACTAAAGTCTGCTATAATACATGAGGCTGTAATGGAGATCCAGTTCGCTGGGTTTTTTTCTCTCGTCCCTCCACCCCCCTTCTTTAGCCGAACGGTGTTCTTAATTTTTATTTTCTTACCAAAAGAATGGAAGCGAGAGGTGTCAAAGGCCAAGAAGAACATCTCCTATGCACACGTTAGGTTAAGATTTAAGGTGGTGACTTAGAAAATAGTAATATGAAGTGATGCATGTTGCTTTGACAGATAAGAAAAGACATAAGATAATGAAAAAATAACCACATTTTTTTATTCAGAACTAAACCGTCTCTGGACACGTAGACTATGTTCTATCAATGTAGCTTATGATTATCACCATTAGCAAGAAAATGATAAGTAGAAGTACTTATCACAGATAACAGTGTTGTTTTTGTGATGAGCTACTTTTTAAGATAAAATATTTGGTTTTGTTGTAGTAATTGTTAAAAGGGTTTTCTAGTCACATAGTTTCACTTTATAGCAAAATCAAGTTACTATGTTTTTGTCTGTTGTAAAAATGCTGTATTTATATCAAATATGACTTAAAGTTGATTTTGTAATTTAACACCTTGAAATTGGGCTTCTGTCTCTTGAAAAACTCCTGTTCTTTCTGAAACTCCGCCTGCAGGAAGTCATCACAACATGGCTCCTTTATTAACCCTAAAACAACATTTTTACCAGAAGATGAAGCACCCTTCCTCCCCTGCAACTCCCTCACTCAGATCCTTCAGACTAGCCAGCAGCAATTAGCAAACACCTGGTGGAACTGCACATCTGCTGAGCTCATTATAGGAGCTACTTTTCAATGCAACACTGGTAAAACTGATGTAAAGGGTTAATAGAGGAGGGATCTGATGACTTACTGAAGGTGGAGTTTCAGAAAGGAGTTTCTTAAAGAGACATAGGCTCAATTTCAAGGTGTTAAATTACCAAGTCAATTACATTTTTTCATTTTTGATCTATACAGCATTTTTAAATAAAAAAAGAAAGTAACAGTTACTTTATTGTCACTATGTGCCTAGAAAATACATATTACTGCCCCTTTAAACAAGTAGTAAATAAATAAATAAATCTTTTGACTGTAAAATAAGTGTTCTTTTTTTGTGATAACTTTCTATACTTTTACCACATTTTCTTGCTAATGATGGATGGAACATACGTAGCACTGCCCCTTTAAGGAATCTCATATTATTAAGAGTTGCTGAATTCTTTACTCAAGCTTTCCTCTTTAAAACTTGTCCAAAAATAATGAAATAATGCAAAACAAAAGCACGCATTCTGCTCCGTGTCAACCTTTCACTTAAAACCGAACGAAATGGATTTGGTAGAAGGCAGTGGACATGTTGCATCAATCAGAACTCCCACCCACCTCTCCCCCAAACACGTAGCCACACACATTGGCCCATGTAGGGACAAATTGGAGCTGAGCATGGTCTGAGTCAGAGCGGTCCGAGGCGACTTGGCTACCAGGCCTGCTCTGCGTTCAGCCTAAACGCTTCTGATAGGCCTCCCTTGAAAAACGACATGGTGTTGAAGCGGTGGAAATCGAGAGCCGCTGGCACGGCGTGTTGTTTTAAGTAGCGGGCAGAAAAGGGGGTGGGGGAAGAGGAAAAGTTGAGGGGGCGGGGAGACTGTCTACAGGCAGAGCACAGAGAAAGATGAGACCCAAGAAATCGATAGATGGATAGAACGTCTCCTACTTTTATCAAAAATGTACTCCAATCTTGTTTTTACTTTACATTTGGACAAAAAAAAAAATTATATATATGTACATATATATATATATATACACACACACATCTATGGTTTTAGTTTCTATGTAAAAATGAGCCGTTTCTCCTGAGTTGATGAATTTATTGTTATATTTCAGTTCAACTGAAAGAGATGCAAAGATTAGCATCCGAATTAAAAATACATTTTAAAAAATAAAGCGTATGCGCTCCACCTCCGCGAGCAGCTCGGTTTCTTGCCGACACCGTGGCGATGAGAGCTGTGATTGATCAGCTTTTCCAACAGGAAATGAGAGGGCATCTCTCAGAGGGCCTGTTTAAACAGCCAGTTATACGGTTACTGAGTTGTTCCAGGACAGCCTGTCACGTGAGGCGGCCGAGGCGCCCCGCGCGCTCCGGCCGACGTGAGTCAACGCTTCCCTCCCGGGTTCGGACGTCTCCAAGGAGCTGCGCCCTCCCTCACCCCCCATCCCTGCATGCGTCTCCGGGAGGCGCTTCGTGTTCTTGTTATTATTGACTGTGCATGTTTGCAGTTTATATGACATTCCTCAGAAGAAACTAGTGCTTTGGAGTCAAGATTTGATCATGTATTCAGTGTCCAACTGAATGTATTTTTACTTTTCGGTTACAAGATTTAATGGCTTTTTTTCCTCCCACACTTTTGCGACTCCACGTTTGTGAATCTGCTCAGAGTGTCCAGATTCGTTCCACGTCACTTTTCCAACCACATCCAATTGTACATTTGATTCAATTTGCAAAAATCTGATTTCATGCTATTATTTGCAGTTGGGGTTTTTTAAGGTTAAAGTGGATATAAAGCATGGATTGGGTTTGGTAATCTGAACTGAACAATTTCTGAGAGTAGTTGGCGAAAAAAGTTCTACCAGGGCTGTTGTTAAATTACGTACTTCAGACGTGTGTGTATGTTGCATTAGAGTTTTATGTGACAGGTCCACAATATGTAATTGCAATATACCATATATATATTGTTTTATTTTGATAAACAAAACTCAAATTATTTAGTAATTGTTTGTATTTTAGCCTCTTTACTGTGATTCCAAAAAATCTTGTGCAGTCAATAGAAAGTAGAAAAGAACTTTGCATTATTAAAGATGCAGAGGCTAATGGTAACATTGAAGGAGCTGCAGAACTCCACCGCTCAGGTTGAAAAGTCTGTTAAGAGCACAACTAAATTGTACAATAGCCAAATCTTGCTTTTGTGGAAAAGGAGTGAAAAGAAATCTGGATGTTGTTCTGTTTGCAGTTTTGTTGTATGCCACATAAAGGACAGAGAAAAACAAATTTACCATAAAAAGTAACTGCAGACGTTTATCTAACTTCATCAAGACTATGCCAGAGACCAAATGGATAGATATACTAAAGCTACAGTGAATGGGCAAAATACTACCAACATATTGTCTAAAAATGCTCATAGCTGTCGACTTTAATAGGTCAAACACCAAATATACCTTAATATAAATCAATACACAGTGAAAACTGTCTTTGGTCTTCAGCAGAAGCCAATGAATGAAGGAAAATGAATAGCGTTGGATTGTCTTCTTTGGAATTGAAAGCCAATAGCGAGTCAAGCAGCATTTGCAGCTTCCCAACCTGCAATTTCTTTATAATATTTGGGATATGTTCTACAAAAAAATTATGAGAAAGGTAAATTTTCCCAAATTAAATTGTAGTTGAAATCTGTAAGATGAATTTGTGGATACCGAACCACGAATAGGCAGGTCTCCAATGTCGCCTTCATCCAAACTGACTGAACTTAAGATATTTTGATAAGAACGATTTAAAATTCCAATCTCTACATGTGCAAAACTGGTACTTTACAGTCAAATACATTTAAGTTTGTGGTTTCAACTCAAAAAACTGAAATAGTTCACGATGTGTCAGTCCTCTTGGTGGACACAGCATAGCCTAGCTGAAAGCGGCGTCAGTTGAAATCCAAGTGTTGGGAATGGCAACAAGGCATGGCAGTCTGACCTGAGAGTCTGCTTTACCTCCTCATGATAAATGGGCTTTAAACGGGGAAAACATATTTGCAGCCAGTTAGTGTCTCGCAAAAATTCATTATGCAAACTCTGGTGGAAGAAAACAGCCATTTATGTCCAAAATTTGCCCATTTAGCCTTGGCAGAGTGAGCAAAATCTTATTCTTGTGCAGCAACTTTCCTGTGTGCTGCAGCTGCTGGAAAGCACTGATATCATCCTCATCTGCCCATGATGCATGGTCAGAGCTAATCTGAAGATATTCAATATAGCTGGCATTGATCCAATGCCAGTGCTCACCTTCATATCCATAGTGTTGATATTTAGATCCAAGCGCCCAGCCCTGCCATTCAGAACATCCGGAAAGTATTCACAACACTTACATTCTTCTATATTTTATGTTACCTCATTCCAAATTGTTTTAAATTAATCTCCTTCCTTAAAATTCTACACCAGCGTGTCATCCTTAAAAAATCTTAATGAATGTCCCTAAAATTAAGGTCTATACATTTTTTTTCTTGAGGGATTTTTCTGTCAGGTAAAACTTTGAGTCACGTGCACACATCTTTATTGTGTTCTGTGACTCCAACAGTTGAGGCCATCGCTAACTAGCTGCTAATATACCCAGAACCGTAATCAGAACAAAACTCAGTAAACAAACCGAGTTTGGAATTCATATTTGATAGTTTTTGCCCTTTTTTTTTGAGAATACAAGCTGCCATTCTGCCAATCAAAACAAAATCTTAAGCGGGGCGGAGCCACTGAGAGTGAGAGCTGAGCAGCGAAAGGGAAATAAAAAGCAAAAGTCGCCTCACAAACTCCAGAATCAGATGCTTAGTGGATTTTAAATACAATGATCAAGAACCAGTCTGACAAATTTAAGAATTTTGTTTTAACAAAGTTATTACTGTGGAGAAGATGGAACCAAAACAGAACAGAGAAATATAAAATGTGATTTTCTTTTGTACATTTCTATTGCGATAGAAGTCTTAAATTTAATTCATAACGTTCTTTTAAAAAGGTCTTTAAAAGTCTTAAATTTGAGTTGGCTGAACATGGAGAAGCCCTGCACACAAAAATACCCCATTATAACAAAGTGGGACGAAAAATTTTTTAGTGTTTCGCAAATTTATGAAGAATAGAAAACAAAAAGAAAATCACGTTTACGTAAGCAAATAAGATGAAAAAAAAAGTTGCGAATAGTTTCCGGATGCACTGTGACATTTGACAGTTTGAGTCTTTTTTTTCCCTTGAGGAAACAAAAAAAGACTCCTTGATAAAAGAATGAAAAGAAAAAAATTGCAGTAAACCGAAGCGCTTCCTCTTAATGCAAACCAGACCGAGAGCTTCAGCTCCAGTCTGTGCGAAGTTGATTCCACCTCTGAGGCTCAGCCGCCGCAGCACAGGATGCAGGGGAAATAAAACCCTCAGTATTAGCCTACTCAACGCTGCATATTAATCAGCATTTAATAAAAGGAAAATAAATCGCCCTCCACTCCAAATATTATGAGTGACGCTAGCCTTGTTTTGATTTTACAGCTTTTTTTTTCATGCAAGGACCTAAAATAAACAACTCTAGTGAAAAAAAGGAAGGATGGAGCAGAGGAGGGGGCGGTGAATATATATACATATATATATATATATAACTGAGTGGTTACTGTATGGACACAGACACTGAAAATCTGACATGAAACAAACAGGAGGAGTTCTTACACCAGTTTCCTAATTATTGAGATCTTTCCTGTCCAGATGGCTTAATTTCCTCATGTGTGATTAAAACTAAAATGGAAATCACCTCTGATTACGACTACATGGGCGTTTAGAATATGAGCGCGGATTTGACAGGGACATAAATCAAAGCTACTATCCGCAGTTATATCTGTTTATTATTTCATGTTTTTTTTTTTCTGAGGTAAATTGTTTGCAACCACCATTTATACTCATATTAAATCCAAGCACAAGCAGAGCTGCCAACCAAATACAAAATGACACATTATATGGTAGCAGTGGAAGTGAGTGTCACGTCTTAATGGTACGGTACAGTGAGAATACTGTCTGCTACCGAGTATTATTACAAAGTAGTTGGAAATAATCTGAGATGAAAAACGAAAATTATAAAATTTTGATGTTGGGAGAAAAATGGCCACACTGTGCAGCTACAAACGAATGAGAACAGTGACGGTGTGTCCCCTCCTCATGCTACGTGGGCAAGTGGGTTTAAAATGACGGCTGGATGAGGACAAAATATGTAAAACATTTATTTATAAAGTTGGAAACGCCTCAAAAGAAAACAAAACAAAAAAAAAGGTATGGTTTGTGTTAGTGCACAATCAAAATCGGATGCTTCCAAAAGCAGGAAGTGGACTATAATGTAGGGCATTCCGGGTAAATAGAACCAAAACAAATGTTAGCAAACCAAACTAGCGCTGGCGGCAGAAATGGCTCGTGATCTTTAACAACTGATGGAATCTCACACTACTCCTTTATTGTTTAGATTTTGTAAGGAAGGAAGTTGCGCTAATGTCTTCTTCAGAAGTTTTCGTGTCATTTCTAGTTGTTGGAGCGGCGCCACCAAAGGTAAGGAGAGGAACAGGTTTCTCAAAGGGTTTGATTGTTTTGACTCAGTGCAGAGTGAAAGTGAACAGCTGCAGCTGAAAATGTGACAAAAGTTGGAAGTTTGGTCCCCAATTGAACCGACAACTTGGATACCTGGAATGATGACG